GAAGGAAGGTACAACGGAGAGGGAGGAGGATGGAGCACGGGATTAGCGCCGCTTGTAGGATAGCTCTTAGTTGATGCGCATCCCGCCAACAGTTTGACTACCGACAGCATGTCTTCGAAGGTCACCCAGATTCTGTGTTTGAGAATTGTGGTGCCCGACGCGGATCTGCTCTCGCAGAGGGCCTCGGATCGCAATTGACACAGGGCCCAAGGGTTTCGTTCGCTCGCTCCTCCCCTCATAGCACTCATTATCGGCGCCGCCATCTTCGCCGTTCTTCTCTTCCTTCACCGCTCGAGGCGGAGATCGAGCAGGTGCGCGCGTCCAGCGAAGAGTACCAGGCAAGGCTCGAGGTGCCGAAACGGGAGTGCGAGTCGCAGGCCGAAGGGCGGACGAGTGAAAGAATGATCTCATCAGGGGGGACGACGTGGACTAGGATAAACGTGAAGAGGCGGAGCAGGATGGGGAGGAGAAAGGCGACGACTGTAAGATCGAGAAGTGGACTTTGTTCACGCGGACAGTCAGAGTGAGCAGGAGGAGGAGCAGGATGCCAAGGAGCAGGAGGAGGAATGATGCGGCTTTGAGGGAGGAGTGTCCTCCAAGGATGCTCCTGGGCAGTGCAATCGCCAGATGCGAAGGGTCAGGAAGGGGTGTGCGAGGAGGAAGAGGGTCAAGAGGCGGAAAGACGTCACGATTGCTTCACGGCGTGGGCCCCTGGAGCTCTCGACCCTGCATCTCTGCATCCCTGCTTGTGTTGTCGCTTGACGGTCCAAAGCCGAAACCGGCCTCCCCAGAGGCCCAGATCGGGAAGGATTGACAGTGTCGTCTTTTCGCGACGAGGGAGGTCTGTGGATGGTGCACAAGGAGGAGGAGGAGGAGGAGGAGGAGGAGGAGGAGGAGGAGGAGGAAGAGGAAGAGGAGGAGGAGGAGGAGGAGGAGGAGGAGGAGGAGGACAACGAGGAGGAGGAGGAGGATAACGAGGAGGAGGAGGAGGAGGAGGAGGAGGAGGACGAGGAGGAGGGGGAGGAGAAGAGAGAGCGCGGTGGAGGAGGTGGAGGAGGAATTCGAACCAGGGGGCATCCCAGGGGGCGCGTCTCGCTTGTCCTCGTGCGGGCCCTGTCGCTAGTCCACAGAGCCGAGAAGGAGAAGGAGGAGGAGGGTCATGAGCATGGCCAGAGCGAGCATGAGGGAAGAGGGGAGGAGCAGGCGCTGGAAGTGCACGGGGTGGAGGAGTGGGATGGGGAGGAGCAGAGGAACTGGGAGGAGACGGAGGAGGAGCTGGAGGTGGGAGAGGAGGAGGAGGAGGAGGAGCAAGACGAGGAGTTTCAGGAGGGGCTGGAGGAGGTGGATGCGTGAGGGGGCGGAGGGTCAGAAGGAGGAGGAGGAGGAGGAGCAGGAGGAGAAGAAGGAGCAGGAGGCGGGGGGCGATGGGGCGAGAGGAAGAACAGGGAGAACAGCAGTGGATGGAAGCGTGCGAGGAGGACGAGGAAGAGGGGCTCCCCTTCGACAGGACAAGACTGAGTTCAGGTTGGTTCCTAGGACGGCGAGGGCCATGTCTCTTGCCACCGCGCATGCCGCTCGAGCCTAGAGCAGCCTCCGCCGCTGGGCCGCCTCCAGCGTCCCGAAGCCGTCGGGGACCGTCAATCCTGAAGGCCTACCTGCACTGTCCTGGCCTCCGGCGTCATGACTCAGGCGATCGCAAACATGGATCAAGAGCGCGCGGATTAGCGACGGGTCCCGTTTCCATAGGGGAATCGCGGCTTTCCGCCGCCGAACGAGGCGGCACTGGCCGCATTTGGGGGAGGGCGACCGCGCGCCAAATCCATGGATCGTGAATCCATGTTTGCGCGCCCGCGAATGACTCTCCGCGACGTGAACCCCCCAGGGGCAACGTTCGGAGAGGAGGAACCCATGGGGGGATTCGTCGACCTCAATGGCCCACTCATCGCCTCGGAAGCCTTCCGAACTGTCAGAGAACCTCCTGGATATTTGAATACCTTGGGGGATCATCCGAAGACGCCCGAAAACCTCGGGCTCGAGCCGAAGAGTCCAGAAACCACCTCCGACTACCTGAAAAGCCTCCGAAGCCCTCCAAGGACATCTGGAAACCCTGAAGATCTTAGAGGAACCTGAGAATCCAACCGAAAAACCCTGACTCAGACCCAAGAGCCTACACATCACCTCCGAACACCTCCAAAGCCTCTGGTGCCATCCAAGAACCTCTTTCGATAAATCCGAAAACCTTAGGGGAATCTCCGAACACAACCGACAGCCATTGACTCAAACCCAAGAACCAGCAAACCAGCTCCGAACACCTCCGAAGCCCTCCCAGAGCCTCCGAGAACCCAACAGACACTTCCAACACATTGTTCCGACGCATCGCTCCAACACAAGCAAATCCGAATCGTCCCGAAGCCACCGAACCAACCCCAGCAAGCTCACGAAATCATTCGGAAACATCAGACAGCAGCCTCGGGAAGCCTCCCGATCTCTCTTGCTGCACTCTTCGCAAGAGCCCGTGGCAGGCCTCGCCGCAGTCGGCGACCGCGATCGTTCAGACGGACCTCTCCTACCAGTGCGCCCGAGCGGCGGCCTGTGGGGAGACGGCTTCCCCCCTCTCCGCAGACTCGGAGCCTGGGCTCTGTCGACGTCCGCTTGTCTGTGCGGGTTCTCTCCGAGAGCCTCGCCGCCCTCCCACCTTCCCCCTCCCTCGTGCCATCCTCCCTCTCCTGCCCTTCCTCCTCCCTGGCCCCCTCTCGTTCCTCGTCGCCATTCCCCTCCTCCAGAGGAAGGACGGGGAGGAGCTTGAATGAGGACGGGGATGATGGAGAAGGGACGGAGGGAGGGAAAGCTTCGAAGATTTTGTCACCCACGATATCACCACCGATCGGTGGGTCGCCCCCCAGTGCATATTGCACCGATCACAAGTTCATGCTCACCGCCGCATCCGTCACCGCACGTAGCCATGACACCACAATCATATTGCGAAGACTTTACAGCCGGTGCCGCCAGCCCTGAAGGAAGGCGGGACCTCCCCCGGGACCCTCACTGCCGACCCCTCCCGGGACCCGCCGGGACCCCGTGGGGCGGGGGTGGCAGTCTGACCTGCGGGACCCCCCTTCCGCATCACAGGCGGGCTCGGCCCCCGCTTGCGCGCGCCCCCCCGCGACCTGCAGAGGCCCCAGGTGTGGCGGCATTCTGACCCGGGACCCCCTCCCGCCCCACCCACGACAACGACGACGACGACGACGACGACGACGACGACGACGACGACGACGACGACGACGACGACGTCTCTCACTCGTCAAAGTGTCGGCGGATCCATTGGGAATCCATGGCGGAGGTATAGGCCATACCGCTATGTTGCGATTGGTATTGACGGCAGTTGGTGCCATCTCAAGCTAAGTAGTCGACCACAAACAGTGGTATGTCCGCGCCTACGTATGCTGTGGAGCTGGATGGTGGTTCAAATGCTGGGGCGAATCGTTCTCGCAGCGATCGGGAGCGGGAATCAGATTACATCGTTCGTTGGCTCTGGCGGGATACTGGAGAGCAGAGCTCGATTTGTGCGACAGCCTCAATCAATACCGACGCTGGGGAGACGACAAAGAACAATGCTCGATGTCGGTCGGGTAAGCAACAATGGAGGATTTTAGCCTCTGTTGTCTTTGTCATTCGCAGACGTTCTGGCACACCGTGCGTAGCGCGACAAACATCAGCACGTGGCTTAGATATCATTGCAGGGCAGCTAAATCGGAATCTATTGCGTAGGGAGGGAGGAAGGGAGGGAGGAGTGAGTGAGGGAGGGATAGAGGGAGGAGGAGGAGGAGGAGGAGGAGGAGGAGGAGGAGGAGGAGGAGGAGGAGGAAGAGGAGGAGGAGGAGGAGGGGGATATGGCGGGAAGAGATGAATAGATGAGACATGGAGCATGGGCAGGAGGTGGGGGAGAATGAGGAGGGACAGGATGAGGATGGGGAGGAGAATGGGGACGAGGGGGGAGGAGGAGAGTGAGGATGGAGAAGGGGGAGCATGAGAGGATCATTGTGAGGCGGAGAACGGTGATGACGCGGGGAAGTAAGAGGAGGAGAAGGGATGGGGATGAGGACGAGGAAAGTGGAGGACGGGGATGACGAGGGGAGCAAGAAGAGAGGAGTGATGTCAAAGAGGGTTTGGAATGTTTCGAGTGCCCTCCGCCCACTTAGCGGTGTTACGCAACCTCTTTGAGCCTCTCAGAGCAATTGCGACCCACGTGTAAGCCAGGCAGGGCCAGGCATACGTAACCACCATAATCGGGAAAACTTGAGACTCGAGTGCGCCGGGACTTGGGTTTGCCGACGGTTTTTGACGAGCGCGTCCTGGAATTTGACGGTCCAGTTTGTCCAGTTTTCGTGAGATGTTTGTAGCCAGAGCTCGCGTCAAATTTCAGATTGGGTCTTTTCACTTTCATGGTGACACCGTCTGACCAACCCGAGTCCCCCGCTCCCGAGTCTGACGTCTCCCCGACATCACCCCCATTTCCCCCTAGCAGCCCCCGCGGCGATCCCAATAGGCATCCACCCACCGTGTGATGTGAACTCACACATCTCGGGCATGCGTCAGCAAAGCCCCCCTCTAGGGATCTGAAGAATAACATATAACCTCGGAGGTCCACGCGGATTTCTTAGATACGCGCTGGACCTCCCGCCCTGGCGTGCGGAGCGCGCCAGGGGCGGCGCTGGAGGCGCCGCAAGGGGGCCCAGCGCCGATCCGAGAAACCCGCGCGGACCCCCGAGCTTTTATGGTTGTGTCATTATTCGGTTCCCTTGCGAAATCCCATGTCTCGGCGCGAACGCGAACGCATGCATTTGTCCTTGCGTCAGCACAGGCCCCCTCCCCTCCTCCTCCTCCTCCCTCCTCTTCCTCCTCCTCCTCCTCCTCCTCCTCCTCTTCCCTCCTCCTCCTAGTCCCTCCTCCTCCTCATCCTCCTCCTCCTTCTCCTCCTCCTCCTCCTCATCCCCCTGCAGCGGGCCAGCCATGCCGGGCCACATGGACCCCTCGCCGCGGGAGCGGCCTCTGCGCGACGGGGTGCCTCCCCTGCCCCTGGCGCGCGGCGGCCTCCGCGGGGCCCTCGACCGGCTGTCCCCGCGGAGCCCCCGGGCTTCGCCGCGGGGCGCGGCGGCGGGGCCTTCCGCGTCGGAGCGCGGGAAGGCCGGCGGCGGCGCCGCCGCCGCCGCCGGTCCATGACCCAGACATGATCGCGTCGTGGCAAAAATCAGGACGGGAGGTTTTTGGCTGTTTTCGGCCTCGGGGGGCCCTCACCGGGCCTCGGGACCCTCAAGAACCGACTCGGAACGAAAAACCGGTCCTCAGGGAAAGTGTCGGGACTTCCAGGGATCCCGTATTGAAAAATCAGGACGTCGCACATCTTAGGAGATCCTTCAAGCAGTGACGGGGCGTCTTTGCTGGCCTATAGGCCCACCGAAGAATGTTCTAAGAGCCGTTCTAAGAGCCTCTGTGTGGTTTGTAAGACCTGTTCTTAGAACATGTCTGTCTAGGGATAGTATTGCTTGTCTTCGTGCTTCAAACATTGTTGGGTTCTGAGGAAAAGTTCCTGGTAGGCCTATCGGGATGCCAGACAGTCGGTCCCTAAGATCCAGGCGTCGAGAATTTTCAGAGCCTGGCGTGTTCGCCCGGCCCCGGGACCAGCACAGACAATCCCAGCTGCAAGGATGCCACAGAAATATTGGGTCCAGGCCTCTGGTTGTGATTACTGGCGATGCTGCATCTCTTTTGCCGGGACCAGCACAGACAGTCCTGGCTGCAAGGATGCCACAGAACTATTGGGTCCATGCCTCTGGTTGTGATCATTGGCGATGCTGCACCTTTTTTGCCAGGACCAGCACAGACAGTCCCAGCTGCAAGGATGCCACAGAAATATTGGGTCCAGGACTCTGGTTGTGATCACTGGCGATGCTGGATCTCTTTTGCCGGGACAAGCACAGACAGTCCCAGCTGCAAGGATGCCACATAAAGATTGGGTCCAGGCCTCCAGGTGTGATTATTGGCGATGCTGCACTTGTTTTGCAGAGTCTGATCTCAGGCGTCCCGGATCCCTGACGACATGTTCTGGTCAATCCCGGCCTCTATTCTCGAAGGTCAGCCTTTGGGGCCGTTGCTGGGCCCACGGGGCCATCCAGAGCGGATCTCGGGTGACAAAGTAGGGCACCGGGGAAGGAGTCGGAACCTTTAGGGGCGCGCGTTGAGAGCTACGGGGAATGGGTCGGGGCTTCCTGGGGCCACGCATTCAAACAAGGAAGGCGTCGGGTGGCGTCGTCGCCGTTTGTCATGCTGTTCCACCTCAGCGAGGCCAGGGGGGCAGGAGTTGTCCCCCTCGTTATTCGAGCATCCTGTGAAGATCGTTCTGGGTTCAGGTTTCTTGCAGTGTAATTAGTTGCATACCTACAGCGCCACCCTCCGGATGATAGTGAGGTTTGGGGAAAAGAACCAATTGATGACAATTGCTATGTTTGTGATTATGACGATGCTGGTAATGCGCTCACGAGTTGGCGACGATGCACGGTGACGATGCTGGTGGCAATGCATGATGGCGATTGTGGTGGTGGTGGCGCATGGCGACGATGCTGTCGACGAGCGGGGCATCGCAAAGGGGCCGCACGCAGGAGTAGCAGTGCATCACGCAACCTCGCGTGACAGACGATACTTCTGTGATTGCGTCACTACCGCCATCACGACCAAATAAGTTCCACCACTACTGTGATGTGATTGTTGATTGTTGAGTATGATGGTTGATTGTTGAGTGCGGTTGCGCGTGTCATTGTGATGGTGGTGGTGGTTCTGCGTTCGCGTCATTGTTTCCGCATCGCTTCAATCTCACCCCCAACGTCTCACTATCGGTTTCACCCGCGACCCTGGTAACCATCGGGACACGATCGGGGCACCATCACACCACCGTGACGCCATCGGGACACCATCGGGACACCATCGGGACACCATCGGGACACCGCGGGACATTGTCGGGACACCATGAGGACACCACAAGACGCCAACTGATGCACTGGGACACCATTAGGACACCATCGGGACACCAGTCGGGACACCACTGGGGACACCACAGGACAGGACAGTACGGCGGGACACCCCGCGGCCACCGCCCGCCACGCGACCAGGGTTTTGGGCGGACTTCTTTCCTCGCCGCGCCCCAGCCAGAGGAGGGGGTTCATTCCATTCGCCCCCCCACGCAGCTTCGCATCGCCCGCACGCGCGACACGAACCCGAAACCGAAGCCGATTTCCTGGTGGGGGGCCCTCACTTCTGTTTGACCACCAACCTCTGACCCACTTCAGCACAGGAGGGAGGTCGCAGATAGCAGCGCAGTAGCAGAACTTCCCCTTCGCAGGCGCTTGCCCCAGAGGTTTGGCAAGAGTCCGTGCATGTAGCAGCGTAGTTAGTTGCCCCGCGTCCAGTGAAACAATCAGTGTGCGCCGCCGCTGCCGCTTGTCGTCGCCAGTCATCGCAGCTGGTCTCTGAGATCCGACGTCTCGAAAAAAATGCAAAACCGTGAAAGAACACGACCAGAGCCTCTTGCCCCATCGTTCTGCGCGACTATTCGAGCCTCATCGATCTGTGAGGGTCCCGGGACCCGAGACTGGGCAAAAACGCTTGGTGTGAAGCAAACACACCGCCCGCATCTCAGGGGTCGTCGCCGCCAGCCGTCGCAGGGCCGTCGTTGCTGGTCGGTCGCCGTGGGCCGTCGCCTCGCGCTGCGAGGCCAACAAAATCCGCAGCCCGCGGCCGCCGGATGCCCTCGAGGGCTGCGCGGGGGAGAGGCAAGCACTGCCCGCGGTGCCGGCCGGGCACGCCCAGGGCGCGGCGGAGGCGGACCCGCACCTGCTTGCCAGGGCGGTAGTCGAGGCGATGGGGGGCAAAACACGGCCCAAGCATACAGTCAACGACGACGACGACGGCGCCGACGACGACGACGGAGCCGACGACGACGACGACGGCGCCAGCGCCAGCGCCGACGACGGCGACGACAACGACATCGACGACGACGACGACGACGACGACGACGACGACGACGGCGGCGGCGGCGGCGGCGGCGGCGACGACGACAACGGCGCCGACGCACCAAGGATGAGCAACTTTCCAAGGTTACCTTTGCATCCTTCCCCTTGGGCCCATCCTTGGCCGCTTTCGCTGGCCGCGCCCCCGCTCGCAGAGTGTCGACGCGGCCCTCCAAGGCCCCTTGCATCCTTATCGTGCATGCCCATTCTACGGGTTGACCGTGTGTCGGGGAGTTCCGCGCGGACTTCTTGGATCAGCGCCCTGCCCTGGTCGGGCCAGACGAAAGGGGGGGATAGGGAAAGGGGGGTTACGACATCTGCTGCATGCAGCTGGTTTCGGCCCCGCCGCCGGGCCTCCCGGCGCCGGGAGGCGCCGGGAAAATCAGCTACGTGAGCTGATTCTCACCCCCGCCTTTGCTATCCCCCCCTTTCGCCGGGCCCGACAGGCCCAGACCCCCTCGAGTCCTTCAGGCGATCCGAAGCATGGATCAAGGGGGCGTGGATGAGCGGCGGGCCCCGCTTCCATGGGAAACCGCGGACTTCCGCCGCCGAGCTACGTGAGCTGATTCTCACCCCCTCCCCTTTGCTATCCCCCCCTTCATTTCCATGGGAAACCGCGGACTTCCGCCGCCGAGCTACGTGAGCTGATTCTCACCCCCTCCCCTTTGCTATCCCCCCTCTTCGCCCGGCCCGAGACTCGGGCCGTCCTCCGAGGCTCTCTCTCGGGCGGTCGGGGGCCCCAGGGCTTTCTAGGCCGTACACTGACGGACCGCGCGGGTGAGGTCCTTCGGCTCCCTCGGGGTGCCGAGGGCCCCGCGCGGTCTGGCGTGCGAGGCGGCCCCAGGACCTTTTTCGAGGCCCTGGTCGCCCGAGGCGTCCTCCCCGAGAACGGGCCGAGGCCCCCCCAACGCCGCGCGGTGGCTCCCCAGACCTCCGACGTCCCGAGAAACTCACGACGAAGGTTTTTGACGATGTTCGGCCTCTGGAGGCCCTCGCCAGGCCTCGGGAGCGTCAAAAAACGACTCGGGATGAAAAACTGGTCCCAGGGAAGGTCTCCAGACTTCCGGGGGCCGACGTCGTGAGTTTCTCACGACGTCGGGGGTCTGGGTCCGATGCCACACGGTGTGGCCACCACGCCGCTTGGAAATCTCCGGCCCCTGGCGCGCGGAGCGCGCCAGGTGCGGCGCAGGCGGACGCGCACCCACCAGGCCGGGGTCGATCCCGGCAATCGAAGGCCCCGAAGCGCAAGAAGCGCAAGATGGAGGCGTCCGGCCGCAAGCGTGTCAGATCCCGCTCGGGAGGCGTCGGGGAAGCGAGAGGCCGGCAGACCCCAGGCGGGCGTGGGAGGCCGCCGCAAGCCGAGAGCCGCGGTGGGCGGATGGAGGCGCTGCCAGTCACCGGGCGTGTTCCACTGCTCGCAAAGTGCCTACTCGCAAACGTCCGAAAAGCACATGTCCGCTTTGGTCTAATTTATTGTAGACCCTCCGCGGCGGATCCAGGCCATTTGCGAGTAGCTACTTTGCGAGTAGTGGAACGCGCTCGTCTAGCCAGGGGGGCCCAGGGCGCTGATCCAAGAAATCCGCGCAGACCTCACGCACTCTGATTATGCCGTGTTCTGTCCCTCGAAAGGCGGTGCGCGGGGAGCTGCGGGAGCCGTCGGGGTTTATCGCCACGGGCACGGGGGAGGGTGGCTGGAGGAAGAGGAGGAGGAGGAGGAGGAGGAGGAGGAGGAGGAGGAGCGATGGGGCGGGAGGCCGATGCAGCAGGAGGAGGAGGAAGAGGAGGAGGAGGAGGAGGAGGAGGAGGAGGACGAGGAGGAGGAGCAGGAGGAGGAGGAGGAGGAGGAGGAGAGGAAGAGGAGGAGGATGAGAAGCATGAGAATTAGGAGGAGGAGGCGGAGGATGAAATGAAGGAGGAGGAGGAGGAGGATCAGAAGGAGGAGGAGGAGGAGGAGGAGGAGGTAAGGAGCGAGTAGGAAGAGCGAGTAGGAGGAGCGATGGGCAGGGAGGACGAGGGAGCAGGTGGAGGAGGGAGTACTAGGGAGGAGCGTACGGCAACAGGGGAGCCTGACACGCGTGCACACGTGCGACGCACCACGCAGATCGCCCGTGCAAACGCACAAAACAAGCATGGCATAGGGGACCGATTTGCGGGCCAACCACGTCAGCAGGCCGTTCTGCGAGCTCCTCATTCTGGCCGAGACGATCGGTCTCAGCCCGGCCACATATTCGGATATGTCATCCGCTTCGGGCGGCCACGTGGTGCTCGTGATCAGGACCCTCGTTGCCCCAGCCTTCCCGGCAGGCTCGGGGAACGGAGGAGTGCGCGGCAGGTGCCATTATGAGACGAACAGGTGCACGTGCGCCAGGGGTTCCACGAGCTGGCCAGAGCCTCCGGAGCGCGACCGTTCAAGCTCGCCTCGACGATTGGCGCCGGCGCCTCCGCCGCCTGGGACGGCAAGAAGTTCATCGAGCGCGGGCCCTGCGCCGAGGGAGACGGGCTCAGGCGCAACCGCACCGAGGGGGACGAGCCCGGCGACGACCCCTTCCTCCACGAGCGCGTCGCCAGCATGCGACTCGATGGCGCGGACGCCATGGACGAGGACGCTGGCATGCCGCTCGCCGAGTGTCGCAAGCCAGTAGCGCTGGAGGAAGCTGCCCGCGCGGGCGCCCAGTCTCCAGCCATGCCGGCAGAGGGGGGCCCCGGGCAAGTTGCGGAGCCGTCCGCTGCTGCCCTGCCGCCGCCAGCTGCGCCGCCGCCGCCGCAGGCCCCCGCCGCGCCCCGCCCTGCAGCCCAGCGGCGGCCCCGCGTCTACTGGCCAGTGCCCGGCTGCCCGCGCGCCGATTCCGCCGCGTCGGCGGGGCGGGCCAGCCCGGAGAGCATGCGGGTCCACTTGAACGAGCACGCGGCGGGGCGCTTCCCCAACCTGCCCCCCGTCCCGCAGGCATTCTTGAACCAGCACGCCTTGGGGCAGCGTTCGGTGTGTCAGCGGTTCTTGAACCTCCGCTTCCAGGGGGTGTGCCCCCGGTGCCGGCCAGCAGCGCGCGCGGCGGCCGCGGCAGTTGCCCCGGCCCTCCCGCGGGCACTGGCGCCGCGGCCGGCCACCCTGGACTCCCATCGCTGCGGGTGGTCTTCTCCAGCCGCGCTGGTACGAGGCGCAACTTGCCCAAGGGGGCCAGGGCGTTGTGGGCGCAGTGCTTGGTGCAGGCCGTGGCGTTGGCGGTCCACCACAACACCGAAGCAGCTTGGGTCCAGCTGGCCATGCTGCCCAAGTGCGTGCTGCGTCCGCACAGCCGCGGGGGCCGAGGCAACCGAAACGCCAGCGAGCAGGAGGCCAAGAGCCTCTGCCGCCGCTGGCTGGAGGGAGAGCGCCAGACGCTCTGGGCAGAAACAACGGAGCGGCGCCAGACAGGGGGGACGGACAAGGCGACTCACAGAACACAGCGCTGCCTCGACTTGGCTTCGGAAGGGCTCTACTCGAAAAGCTGCGCTTCGTTGACGTCGGAGCCGCCCGTGTCCGTCACGCAGGCCGTCGTGGATCAGATGGGCCGCAAACACCCCGCAGTCAGCAACCAATTGTGGACCGGGCCAGCCTGCCTGCTGTCCACGCGGCCGCCGCCGCCCAGGTCGACGTTCCTGTCGTCCAGAAAGAAGTGCGGGCCCTCCCTAAGGGCTCAGCCGCTGGCACCGCTGGTCTGCGCCCCAAACACCTGCAGGACGCCTTGGCGACGGCAGCCCACAGGGGCGAGATCGTCGAGCAGCTCGCTGGTCTCGTCAACGTGCTCGCGCGCGGCCAGGCTCTGGCGGCGGTCGCGGTTTGCTTTGCTGGCGCTTCGCTGGTGGTTCTCCCGAAGAACGATGGCGGCCTCCGTCCGGTGGCCGTCCGCGAGGCACACCGCCGCCCGGTGGGCAAGTGCCTCGGCAAGGAGGTCGCCGAGGCTGCCCGCGACCGCCTGGCGCCCCTCCAGGTAGGCGCGGCCGTCCCAGGAGGCGCGCAGGCGGCGATCCACGTGGCCAGGCAGTGATTCACGCGCAACCGTGGCGACAGGGACAAAGTCTTCGTGAAGTTGGACCTCTCGAGCGCTTTCAACACCTTTCACCGGAGGGCCGTCCTCAGAGCAGTGCGCGAGAATTTTCCTGCGCTGGCACCCTGGGCGGACTGGCGCCACGGCAGCCCCATCGCTGCTCTTCCTCGGCAAACAGACGCTGACCTCCTAGTGCGGTGTCCAGCAGGGCGACCCGCTTGGCCCGGTGCTCTCCTCTCTGGCACTCCAGCTCTGCGCGGAGACGGCGCGCCGCAGCAGCCTCAGGGAGTTCGCTCAGGACGCCGGCCTGGATTTCATTTTCTTATACTTGGACGACGGCCGCGCGGCGGGCGACAGACAGGCCGCGGCGCGCTTCCTGCACCTCGTCGTGGCCGAGCTCGCAGCAGTCGGCTTCGACCTCAGCGCGGGGCCGGGCAAGTGCGAGGTTGTCCCTGCGGCGGGGGCAGACAGCCGCGCGTCCGCGGCGGATTTCCCGCCGGGGCTTCCGACGGCGCTCCGACGGCTGCTTCGAGCTCCCCGGCGCGCCCATCGGGAGCGACGATTTCTGCCGCCAGCACGCGCAGAAACGAGTGAAGAAGGCAGCGGAGCTCCTAGACGCACTGGCCGGCTTGGAGGACGCACAGCTACTGTTGTGTGCCTCCGACTGCAAGCTCGGCTACTCGGCGCGCGCGGTGCCGCCCTCCGCCCGCGCCGAGGCCCTCCTGGAGATGGACGCCGCAGTGCGCCCCTGCATGAAACAGTTTGCTAGCGCTTCCCTCGCCGACGACTCCTGGGCCCAAGCACAGCTGAAACTGAACAAGGGCGGCTTGGGGCTGCGCTCCGCCGAGAAGCATTCGCCTGCGGCCGACCTCTCTTCGCGCGCCAGGAGCAGCGAGTTGTGCTGGTCAGTGTGCGCGGGCTACACTGACGACGCCGCGGGCGACGCCGGGGCCCTGACCACGGCTCTCCAGACCCACAACGCCAGCGTGGCGGAGGCTGACCGGGCCGGGCGCTTCGACTGCTGCGAGACACACTCCAACGAGAAGACTCTCTCGGGCCACGTCGACGACGCTGCGCGCGCCGCCCTCTGGGGCCGCCCCTCGCCCGAAACGCGCGCCCGCCTCGCTTTGGTGGCCGCGCCTGGCGTCAGCGCGCACCTGCAGGCGCCCTCCAGCGAGGCGCTCGGCACGGCGGCCCCGCACAGCCTGATGCAGATTGGGATCGAGCGACGGCCCTGGGCCCAGCTGATCGACGAGGAAGCATTCTGCCCGGCGTGCGGGGAAGTCATGGACGCGCACTGCGACCGCGCCTGGGCGCGCGCCTGCCAGGGCGACCGCGCGCGCCGCCACAACAAGCTGCGAAACGGCACCTTCTTACTCGCCGCCCAGGCCGCCGGCTTCTCGGGGGCGGAGCTAGAGCGGCCTGGACTGCTGCCGCCGCGGGCGCCGGGCGAGGGGCCGAACGCCGAGGAGCCTGACGGCGACGGACTTGACGACGCCGGCCGCCGGCCAGCGGATGTCTATGTCCCCAGGTGGCGCGGCGGGCTCTCGGCCGCCCTGGACTTTGCGGTGACGTCGGGTTTGCGCGCGGACATCATCGCGCTCTTCGCTGCCGACCCCGGCGCCGCCCTTGACAGGTACGAGGAGTGCAAGCGGCAGCACCAGGGCACGGCGCAGGCCTGCTGCGACGCGGACTTCAGCTTCATCCCGATGGCGGTGGAGGCGCACGGCGGGAGCTGGGGCGGCGAGGCGCGCCGCGCCTTCGCCGTGCTGGCCACGCGCGCGGCCGACGCGCGCGGGGGGGAGGCCGCCGGCACGGCGGACAGGATGGCCCAGCGACTCTCCATCTTCCTTCACCGGGAGAACGCGCGGGCCATTCTGCAGCGGCTGCAGCAGCCGCGGCCAGGGGCGACTCCGGCCCGCCTGGCGGCGGCGGCGGCGGTGCAAGCGGCGGCGGCAGCGGCCGTCGCGCGAGGCGCAAGGACAGGCGGCGGGCGCCGAGGACGACGAGGCGAGGGAGGGCGACCAGGAGCAGGAGGAGGAGCAGGAGGAGGAGGAGGAGGAGGAGGAGGCGCTGGCGGCGCGGGGAGGATGAGGAGGGCGAGGAGGAGGACGACGACGAGACCATGAGCAGGGGACAGAGGAGCGCAGAGGGAGCCCGCAGTGGGCATGAGACGCCAGGAGGTGAGTTATCAGTCTCAGAAGGACGGCCGTCGCGCGGGGCACCAGAGAGGCTGTCGAGGCTGCTGCTGCTGCTGTTGCTTGCTGGAGGAGGAGGAGGAGGAGGAGGAGGAGGAGGAGGAGGAGGAGGAGGAGGAGGAGGAGGAGGAGGAGGAGGAGGAGGAGAAGGAGGAGGAGGAGGCAATGAGGACGGGACAGTGGAGCGCAGAGGGAGCCTTGAGGAGGCGGCCAGGAGGCGGGCGAGGCGAGGCAGGAGGAGGCGGCGCATGCAGCGGAGTGCTCGTCTCCGCGGAGTGCTCGTCTCCCCGGACCTGGCCGACGGTTGCATTGGCGCCCCGCCCTGCGCCCTCGTCATCAAGTACGACGCCGCTGATGACAAGTACGGGTACGGGAGCCTCACGTCTTGCCTGGACACCAGCTTGTGCGACCTGTTCGCGCACCGCCTCGCGGACACCCTGCGGGCCGCGGGCCCTGGGAGGCGCCCGCGGACCCGCCTGCTCCGTGCCGAGGGAGACGCGCGCGGTGGAGCGCCGCGGCAGGGGCGCCTGGAGGCCGGCCGGTGCCGCGCGAGGGCGCGGCGGCGCCAGCTAAGGCGCCAGCCGGGGCGCCGGCGGTCGTCGGTCTGAGCAGTGTTGGTATGCATGCGACCAAAAGTCCAAATCACGTGTGGCCAGGGTCGGACGGCACGACACAGCGGGCGGTGACATGCCCAGAGAGGAATGGAAGTAGGCCGATCCAATATCTGCCCGACTGGGCACAAGCTAGGGTTACTCGCCTGCGCGGCCAGAACAGACTGCCAGCTGGACGGGCCATGATGCCCGAGGATAAACACCAGCAGGCACCACGAGCCCGCACGCCGAGAGGCGGGCAGGGACCAGAAGCAAAGAAAAGACGGAGCCGCGAAGTGCCTGGCACGCGCGAGGCCCCGGTGGCGCAGCACGCCACACGGCGGCAACACCCGACGAACGGTGTGCGAGGCAGCGGCCGTCAATCTGAGCCTCTGGAGTCGGTCAGCGGGACTGGCTCCCTTGGGCGGGACACCCACCGTCTTGAGACAACTAGCTCTTGTATCTTATAAGAAGCGAGCTGGGCTCCGCTGCGGCCGCGGGGCCGCCAGAAGAAAGAACGGCACGGGAGGGATTTGCAGGCGATGCTCTTCCTCCAGGGGTTGAAGGTCCCCTGGTGGCTGGGCTTTGGAGAGCAGCAGCCACCGACACATGGGCTCCGCACCCTGGCGCGCACCGCTATGCCCTGGGCGCCCATCCCGTGGGCTCAAGCCCAGACGTTGGGCTACAGATCGACTGGGAGGCGCTTGGAAGTGATAGCGCAGCCACCCCCGATGTGGGTCAGGCCCTGCTGGCAGCGCTTCGGGAGGGGAGGACCGCGCGGCCCCTGGTGCTGCAGCGCCTGGGCGGGGTTGCCGCCCTCCCTTTCCCGCGCCTGGGATGCAGCTCCCCCTCCCGGCCCAGCAGTGCCCCCACCACCTCCACCAGAGGATGATCTGGGGCAGACAGCAGGGCTCATTTCGATTCCTCCGATTCGATTCGATGTCGATGGTTTCCGATTCCGATTCGATTCGATTTGGATTCCGATTTTGGCTCCGATTTCTCAATGGAGGCCCACTTGTCCGCCGATGTCCGCTGATTCGACTTGTCCCGGCTCGGCTGCCGATTTCTGCCGATCCGACTCATTCCGATCGCCGATCCGAGTTATCGATTCGATTCTTGGTCCTGTGTGCTGAAGGATATGGGGCAGACAGTCTCGAGATCGGCAGTGACCCCGACACTCCTGTGGTCTTGGTGGGGTCCTTTACTCAATCCCGGCCAAAGGTCGCTACGAACGGGCGGCCTGCTCCGATATATCTGAGCAAGCAGCCTCATTCGCCCACCTGTGGTGAAGGCGGCACAGGCCTGGCAGATACACGCGGAACTCTGGTCACGAAGGTCAGCTGCCAGGCAATGGTGTTCGAGCTCTCCCAGCTTTGCGGGGTCGACGCGAAGCACACGATTACAAAATCCCAGGGGCAGGTTGCAGCCGCGGCCCTGGATCCCCGCATACATTGAGCGCAGTCGGTGGAGGAGGAGGAGGAGGAGGAGCAGGAGGAGGAGGAGGAGGAGGAGGAGGAGGAGGAGGAGCAGGAGGAAGAGGAGGAGCAGGAGGTGGAGGAGGTGGAGGAGGAGGAGGAGGACGAAGAGGAGGAGGACGAGGAGGAAGAAGAGGAGGACGAGGGGTCAGAGCAGCAGGACGAGGGAGCCTGGCCCATGGGGGGAGTTGACCCAGGGGGGGGGGTCATCGACCCACAATCGCCCATTCATCGCCAAGCAAGGCCCAGGGGCCCACCACCCCGCTGCGGAGCGTGCGGTTTCGCCAGCGGGGTCCTGTCGCCGATCTGTCGGCGATGCCTCGCCGATGTTAGGTCACTGTTTCCCCTCCCCCCTGCGCCAGTCCCTCCGACGGTTGCCCCTCGGTATAGGGTCGGAGGATCGTGCCGCATCGGCGATGCATCGGCGATGCAGCCGGGCCGCTGAAGAAGGAACCCGTTTCATTGGGGAGGGGCTCGATGTTATTTCATGGTCTTGCAGCTTTGCTCAGGTTGTCCTGAGGTTTTCTGGGGGAGATCGAAGTTACAATTACGAAAAAACGGGCCTCGTTCCGTATTTAGGGTTCCATGTTCAAGCAGTGGCGAAGCGTCTTGGGGCGCCTATAGCCCTACCAAACACTTTTCTAAGAATCTCTTGTGGTTCCCACGAAATGTTCTTAGAACATTTCTGGTTGGGACTGTCATGTTTTATCACATCGGGCTTATGTTCTGAGAACATTGTTTCTGTTCTTAGAGCATTTTTGGGGTTCCACAACATTTCGTGGCAGGAGTATAGGAATGCCGGGACGGTCGGCCCCTGCTCCACATATGACAGCGCTTCGACTGTACGGCGCGATCCTCCCTGGAGGAGCAACTCCGGGAGCAGCTGCGCGAGGCGACCATTGCCCTCGAGCGGGCCGTGCGCTCGGAGGTGGCCCTGGCCGTGACCTGGGCCGTGTCGGCCTCGCCGGGCGCGGGCCCGCGCGCGCAGACGAGCCCTGGCGGGCACGGCGAGGGCGAGGCTCGGACCGTCGGAGGAGGGCAATCGAAGAAGAGAAGATGCGCATAAGCCTGGCATCGCTCGGACATGTGCATTTTTTCTCGGCGAGAGCCATCGAGGAGCATCGTTGATCATATGGCGAAAAAGCCACGCACGAAACCGAACAAAGCACAGGGAATGGACGTCTGAGCGATGGCCAGTGTGCACACTCTTCCGACGCTCCGCGCGGAGTTCTTGGGTCCGCGCTGCGCCCGCCCGCCCTGGCGGCGCCTCGGGCGCCGCACCTGGCGCGCTCCGCGCGGCAGGGAGGTGGCTGCAGCCCAGGTCCAACGAATCCGCGCAGCTCTCCAAATTTTTTTTTTGTGTATGGCAGGTCTTGTTCTCCGAGGCAGGTCGAGACAGCGGCGGCCCTCTCTTGAGCTCTTCGCCCTTCCCGGGCCTGCTGGAGGCTGTTGGTCGCCCTGGCTGGGTCCGTCTCGACAGGCGGGTCAGTATGGAGCCTCGTGGGGGGGGGGTCCGGGGACCGATTGCGAGCAGATTCGGGCCGGGCGGGACGGACGCCGTCATCTCAGGGGCGCGCGTAACGGGGTTCCGCGCAACCAGGGCTCAGCCGGAGCGCCAGATCCTGGCTAGATCCTGCGAGGCTGGTGTCTGGCTGAGCCGGGTTTGGAAGCCGCTCGCGGCTGTCGAGGTGACCCTACATCTTGCTTGAGCCAGGTTTGGGAAGCCCCCAACAAGTTGAAGCGCATTTGGTCTAAACTGGCTGAGCCAGGCCGGCACTGAGCCTGGTTGATCCACGCCCGATGTCTCGACTGGCCCTCCTCCAAAAGGTGCACAGGCCCGGTTCGCCGACAGGCAAGTTCAGAAGCGAGGCGCAAGACCAGCCGACCGGCAGGGAGTCTCGATCGTCGAACATGTCATCAATATCGAGTGCGAGCAAGGCAGATCGCTCGGTCGAAGTGCCGACCATGCATCTCTCAAAGTTCGCGGAGACGCCTGCACAGACAGAGGTGCTTGACGGTGGCGGCAAAAGGTTTGTCGATTGTGTCGACTATTTATGGAACTTGAAGGAGCCCAGGCGCGACGGCCTACTCGCGAGATTGTTCAGACAGGCCCGCTTTGAGGTTGCCGTCCAGGTTGTGATCATGTGCAACTGCCTCTTCATGGCACTCGTCGCCAACAGTGAGGTTGCCAATTGGAACGAAGATCCGCATCCGCTCATCCTGCCCCTTGAGCTTACTTTCCAGTTGATCTACACACTGGAGCTGATTGGGAAGCTGTCCGTTCATAGATTGTTCTTCTTCTGGAACGAGGACTGGGCCCTGAACCTGCTGGACTTCACGCTGGTCGTTACGGGCGCGATGGAAATTGCGTTCAGGCTTGGCAACATTTGGAACCTGTCCTACATGCGGAGCCTGCGCGTTGTGAAGGTGGCCAAGGCCCTGCGGCTGGTCCGCGTGATCACTGGTGCCGAGGCGTTGCGAAACATTTTCATCTGCATCATCGGTTCAATGATGAATTTCGTTTGGAGTATCCTTATGTTGACGGTGGTTCTGTACGTGTTCTCCCTGCTCTTGGTAATCAGCGCTGGAAACCACCTCCAAGAGATAGGTGACGACACAAGCGACGCCGCCGAGAGTCTGCGTTCGGAACTCCTGTTGATGTACGGCTCCATCCAGCAGTCGATGCTCACCCTGTATAAGGCGACGACGGGTGGCGACGACTGGTCGCTCTCCTACAATGCCATCGCAAGCACAGGCTGGGTCCCCTCGATCGTCTACCTCTTCTTTGTGGCCTTCATGCAGGCCACAACTCCGCTTTGATACGAGCAAGCGGTCTTCGAGACGGCCGTGCTTAGGTTCAGTCGCGGCTTCAACACCATTCAGTAGCCCTGCTACCTGAACACGGCAATCTCGAAGACCGATGCTCGTATCGAAGGGGAGTTGTGGCCTTCATGCAGATTGCGCTCGTGAACAGCCAGCTGCCTGCGGCAAGCCCCGCCACAGCGCCGGCACAGCATCGACATACATGGAGAATCGTGCTAGCAGGCACGGCCGAAGCATCTTGGGGCGGTCTGGGTAACAGCGCTAAGGGGCGAGCTTCTCGGCGCCTTGCTGGAGGGTTTCATTGGTGCCCCTTCTGGGCTTTGCTGGGCCCGGTAGGGCCTCGTGGGCATGTATCGGTAGCCCTGGGTCAGGACTTTGGGGCGCCACGTGCAAGTCTTGAGGCATGTTGCACCCGTTTTGGGCGGTCGTGGGCCGCCGCAGATACGTCTTGGGGTCGATGCGTGCTCCAGGGAGACATTCCTAGGGGCGTGGGTCTTGACACAGGTATGCGAGTTAGGGTCTCATTTGCCTCATCAGACAGGGTATGTTTTGAGCTTCGAGATTTCTTTCAGCTTGTTCATCATATATACACAAGTCAAGCATCTACCCCATGAAACAGGGTGTTGCTTGTTTTCCATATGTTATACATGCGATGGCGGATCCTTCTTCTTCTAGAAGACGGCGTTCTGGCAACAGGAGTGCAGACTAACATCTTAAGCTTGGATCTATCCCACACCCCAGGGCGTTCCATTTCAATTTCTTTTGCATGACAGGCGCAATAAGTTATCAAGTATGAGATTATCCTTTAAGTGACAGGATATTTCATTTCAATTTTTCTTTCTCTGCGATGGCGGATCATCACTGGCATCTTCGTGGATACGGCCCTCCAGAAGTTGGCCCCGGACCGGGAGGCCACGGCTTTAAGCCATCACAAGGAGAAGGAGTTAGCGGCCGAGAACATGCGCTCTTTGTGGAGGGAGGTCGCCGAAACGGACGACGGTTATCTCACAACCGAGGACTTCCGCAGTGGCCTCCGTGGGACAAAGATTCCGTACCAGCTCGAGGACATGGGGCTCTCCATCGACAATGTCAGTCACTTCTTCCGCGTCTTGCAGAGACACTCCTCAGAGGACGGCAAGGTGCGCATCAACAATTTTGTGCACGGGTGCATGCGGCTGAAGGGCGCGGCCTCTAGCTACGATATTCAGGAGATGCGGTCGGAGATATTCGCCATTGGCAGGAAGGTCGATCGCTTGGCGGCGCCTCCCCAGCACACCGTCGCGTAGTTGTGCGAGTAGCAGACCATTGTCCCTCATTGCTCTCCTTCCTGTCTGATGACATGCTTATCTGTTCAGCGCACTCAATACAGATGACATCGCAACCTTGCACAATGTTTCAAATCGTTATGGCAGCATTGGCGGGATTGCATCGTTGAGTCCTGCCAGCGCTGGTTCTTTGTTCCCGCTTGTTGTCAAATTCGTCGTGCCGCCATCCCGATCTTGGGTTGGTTAATTCTCTGTCTCGCTGTGTTAATGCTGCAATGCCCCGCATTTCAGAAGTCCGGCAACAAACATTCTCGGCGGCAGTTGCTCTTGGGAGTGGCCTCTTTCTCCTCGAGACTCGCTTGGGCGCGGTCAACGGCCATGGCTCGCGCGTTCGCGGGGCAGGGGGAGGAGCATCAGCAGCAGTGAGGAGCAGGATAATCACGATTGAAGAGAGAGGGTGTAGCAGGAGGAGGACAACAAGGGAAGGTCAGGGACGGACAGGGCAGGATGAGGAGGAGGAGGAGGACCAGTGGAAGCCCAAGAGTCATCCACGATGTTAGAATTAACCATCCCTCCAAGCTACTTTTCCATAGGCCCCTACAACGGTTCATTTCCATTGAGGGAACCGCCTCGCTGGACGATAACAGTTCGAAGATCCTGAAGCGTGCCAAAACATTGTTCTCGGGATGTCAACGCCACGTATGAACCTGACTGCTGCGTCTTGACGATCCAGAATCGTGCCAGAACGCCATTTTTGAGACTTCAACACAGCGGATTAACATAACCGTTGCGCCCGAATAATCCTGAATCCGTCCAAAACACAAGTTCTGGTACGTTGATCATGGGAGTCCGTGGCACTCTTGCAAATGTTTAAGACGAGTGTGCGCGGCGCTAAGGCGAGAGCCACATTTCGAAAAGGAACTGCCCTCACTCCGTGAACCTCCTGCAATCTTTTACAACGAATGTTCGCGGCGCTAGGGCGAGAGCCACTATTTGAAAGCGACCCGCCCTCAATCCGCGAAGCTCTTGCACATGTTAAAAAACGAATGTACGCGGCGCTAGGGCGAGAGTCACTTTTTGAAAACCACCCGCCTTCGAACCGCGAAAGTCATGCCAATCTTTGAAACTGTTTGACACGAATGCGCGCAGCGCTAAGGCGAGAGCCACATTTTGAAAACGACCCGCCCTGAGTTCGTGAAACTCTTGCACTTGTTTAAAAACGAATGCGCGCGGCGCTAAGGCGAGAGCCACATCTTGAAAACCACCCGCCCTCAATCCGCGAAGCTCTTGCAAATGTTTAGATGGAATGTGCGCGGCGCTGAGGCGAGAGCCACATTTTGAAACCGATCCGCCCTCCATCTGTGAAACGGTTGTCAATGTTTAAGCCTCAGAGTCGTACCTGGCAAGGAAGTCTCAGGCGAAACGCCCGGCCCGCCCTAAGAACTCCCTTCGGGGTGCGACAGGGAAGAGTTATCTATAAGGAGAAGGAATGGAGGAGAAAGGGGGAGAGACGAGGAGGAGGAGGAGGAGGAGGAGGAGGAGGAGGAAGAGGCGGAACAAAATGCAGAGGAACAGAGGGTGGAAAGAGGGAGGGCAGAGCAGAGACGGGGAGCAACAGAAGGAGCCGAAGCAGGAGTGGCAGAATGAGGGGGGAGGGGGCGGCCTGAAGGGAGGGAGATAGGGCGGGAGAGGGAGGTGGGAAAAGGCGGGAAAAGGCGAGAGGGAAGAAGGGAGCGAGGGCGGATGGGAGGGAGGGAGGTTAGCTTTAGCATCGGTGCGGGTAAATCTCCAGTCGAAAACTTGCCTAATCTGGCCTACTCCCGACCACTCATGCCACATACTGCTCCATCCGCTCGAATCCTGTCTCGTCCGGCTTGCTTCCGGGCTTGCCCTGGCCAAGTCCGGATCAGGGTCTCTTGTATCGGGCCGAATGCCCTCAGTCGTTCTGACGAAGGTCGGCTACGCGCAGAGGGGGGGTATGGGGAGGGGGGAAGGGCGTCTTGGAAGCACCCCTGCTTCTTAGAAGGCGCGGGCCTTTCTCTGTCGATGTAGGGCCGGCGCCTACCCCCTTCTCTGTCGAAGCAGCCTCCTTCCAAGAAGCCTTCCCTCCTGCCCCTACCCCCTTGTGCGCGCCGCCGGGTTCTGACGAAGGCCTCCCAGGGGAGGAGGAGGAGGAGGAGAAGAGGAGAAGAGGAGAAGAGGAGAAGAGGAGAAGAGGAGGAGGAGGAGGAGGAGGAGGAGGAGGAGTTGCCTCCTGACAGGAAGCGGCCCTGCCCGCTCCTGGAGCGCGCCGGTGGGGGAGCGCCAGCCATGGCCGCCGAGGAGCCGGCGCCCGCCGAGCTGCGCCTCGAGAGGGCGCCGCCGCCGCTGGCCGAGCCGCGGGGCCTCCAGGAGTCAAGCAGCGGCGAAGCGTCCTGGCTCGCCTATAGCCCTACCAAACAGGGTTCTAAGAACCTGTCGTGGTCTCCAGGAAATGTCCTCAGAACATTTCTGGCTGGGACTGTCTTGTTTTATCACATCGGGCTTATGTTCTGAGAACATTGTGTTTGTTCTCAGACCATGTTTGGGTTCTAAAAACATGTCGTGGTAGGAATATAGGAATGCCGGGACGGTCGATCCCTGCTCAAAGGAGGCCCTCGGCAGGCTTTCCCCGCGCGGCGCCTTCCGGAAGGGCCCGGCCACGCCGCCGTCGCGCGTGAAGGCCACTTGCCGCCGGACCCCGAGATCATGTCCTCGTCGCCGAGCGCGTTCCACTGCTCGCAAAAAGTGCCCACTCGCAAACGTCCGGAAAAATCACATGTCCTTCTTGATGTAAGTAATCGTAGATCCCCCTTCGGGGATCCAGGCCGTTTGCGAGTAGTTACTCTGCGAGTCGTGGAACGCGCTCGTCGACCGTGCTGTTGTTACACAACGGGCGTCTGCGCTCCACATCGGGCCCCAGGACCCTCGCGGATCGATCCGGCTCGATGGGGTCGAGGGCTCCGGTCGTGTTCTGTTTTGCGAGGTTGCCAGTTTTGCGCAGCGTCAGGTCTCGGGGGGGCCCGCCGTCTGCGGCCGCCGTTGGCCGTTCTGCGTCGCCGTCGCGGTCCCCTGAGGACCGAGCTGCCTGCGGCAGGTCCAGCTACCCCGCGAGCCCAGCATTCTGGGTGGCGACTGCTCGAGGGGATGTGGGAGGCCGTCGGGCGTGACACCTCGCGTCTTCAGGCTAATTAGGGAGTGCCGTCTTCATGATGATTGTGGTAACGATGGTGACGCTGTTGATGATGTTGATGAAGACGGCGACGATGATGACGATGAGGGCGACGGCGACGACGACGACGACGATGTTGATGATGATGATGATGATGGTGATGATGATGATGATGATGATGATGGTGATGATGATGATGATGGTGGTGGTGATGATGGTGGTGATGATGATAATGATGATGATCATCATCATCATGATGATGATGCTGATGATGATGATGCTGCTGATGATGATGGTGATGCTGATGATGATGATGACGATGATGGTGATGATGATGATGGTGGTGATGATGATAATGGTGGTGGTGATGACGGTGATGATGATGATGATGATGGTGGTGGTGGTGACGGAGATGATGTGATGATGATGTTGATGATGATGATGATGATGATGATGATCATGATCATGATCATGATCATGATCATGATCATGATCATGATGATGCTGATGATGATGATGATGATGATGGTGATGATGATGATGGTGATGTTGATGATGATGATGATGATGATGATGATGATGATGATGATGATGATGATGCTGATGATGATGCTGCTGCTGATGCTGCTGCTGCTGATGATGATGATGATAATGATGATGATGATGATGATGATGATGATGATGATGATGATGATGATGATGATGATGATGATGATGATGGTGATGCTGATGATGATGATGATGGTGATGGTGATGCAGGCCGCTTCTCGCCGACCCCGGCCGTCTGCAGCCGCCGCGGGCCGTCGCCGTCGCCGTCCCCAGATATCCGATGTATGGATTTCAATGCAACCATATAGGAACCGCAGGTCTGGGCCGATCCAGGAGAGGCCTCAGAGAGCTTTCCGAAGCCTCCTGCTTCTCCGCCTCCACCTCCGCGTTCTTCCCTCCTCCCCCTCGACGTCACCAGCATTTAACAAGAGGAAGGGGGGCAGGAGGAGGAGGAGGAGGAGGAGGAGGAGGAGGAGGAGGAGGGAGAAGAAGAAGAGGAGGATCAGGATGAGTGGGACGACGACGACGACGACGACGACAGACCACCACGACCAACGACGGACGACGACGACGACGACGACGACGGCGACCGACGACGGACGCCGACCCAGACATCCGATCTTCTGTTTTCTATCCAACAAACGACCCTTTCCCCAGGGCTGGCTCTTCAGCCCTTGTGCTTCTTGTTGACGGTCCCGGGGCCTGGCGAGAGCCCCCAGGGGCCAAACCCAGCAATGAAGGCCTCACATCTTTGCTTGTTTCACGACGCGGGCGTGTCTGGGGTCGCCGCGGTCGCCGTGTCCGTCTGTCGCAGCCGCCGCCGCCGTCAGCCAGAGCTCCCTGCGCCGTCGCGCGTGAAGGCCACCGCCGCCGCCAGCCCCTGAGATCCGACGTTTCCAACAGCTGCGCGGTCGCGAAAAATCTCGACTGGAGCCCTGGACCTCACCTTTCTGCTGCAGCTTCCAAGTCGGAACGATCCGTGAAGGTCTTGGGGCCCGGAGCAAGGCAACATGGCCCAGTACGAGTTCCTCAGCAAAGCACCCTGATAGCAGCAAAGGTTAAGAAATGGGTCGGGGAGCAGGAGGTCAATTCTGGGGGACATGGGCGAGAGCACGGCCCTGTGCACCTGACTGTGTCTGTCACGAGGGATCTTGGCCGTGCGAACCAAACACGTAGCCGCCATTGGGGCGAGGGCACGGCACCCGAACACACACAGTCTCGGGCGAAACGCTTGCTGGGCTGGCTGCTGAACCGGGCGGTCTAGGGCTCTCCGTCCCCTGGA